AGGGCCTTCAGTTGAAATGCGTAATGCTCTCTGCAGAATGACTGTCATACTACATGGAAATGCATATGGTTTTGGTTCAGCCCCATAACGCAAATCATTCAAAACGATGATGTAAATAATTCTATCGAATGTCATTTGCTGATCTGAGCTGACAAAAGAGGTGGAAGCATATGCATCGCTATCAGAGCTGTTTCGAACATAGGTGAAGGATGAAAACCAATGTTTGGCTAATTCGTGGTGGAGGTTTCCTTCACCACGAAAACATTTTGTATCCATAATGGAATGGCTTATTATGGCTATTCAGTATAGAAATGTAGATAATCAAATTATAAATCTAATTAAAAGCACTTGGCTTGGATGTCACACTATTCTTAAATGTTTGTCCTCTGAGTGCCGTATGTTTCATATCAAATTTTCAAACGAAAATCATCCTGTATTTGGATGACAGTCATATGGATGTTCATCATCTGACGACGAATTCAACCATAAGAAAATCATCCGAAATTCGAATGCATATTGTTAAAGGGCTCGAGCAATGCAATAATCATTTGAAGTATTGCGGATGTTTTGGTTCAGTGTAGGTTTCTTATGGCTTGTTTACGTGTGGAGCCAGTTATGCGAGGTAGGCGACCATTGTTCGTATTTGACAGCCACCTCCCCCCTTGGATAATACGGAGGCGAAAACGAACCACTTTTCTGTCAAACGCGAACCAGCTCGTGATTGGCCGATTTGAAGTGCGTAAGATAGAGATAGAGATAGATATAGATATAGATAGAGATAGAGATAGAGATAGAGATAAAAAAATAAGAGTCTCCTCTTCCTCTTAGGTTTAAAGCAGAAGAACTGAAGGACAGTGTATTGTTCTGAAGCAGAGCTCCCCCCCTCCCGCTCACAAAGGTTTCAAGTTTCGGGAAAACCTTTTTGAGACGGCCTACCGATAACTACAGATAACAGTTTTGAGAAGCTACCGATAATGAAAAAAATAATCTGGCCACCCTGAGATTCGAAAAGAACACAAAAATTGCACTGGCAAGACACACAAAACAGCCAGAGCAGCAGCTGTTTCTGTGGAAGGAACGTTTTTCCTTGAAAATTCTGGAAAAGGTATGAAATTTCCTAATGGCGATCTATAATTTTTACCACATCTGGAGATTAGTTCCGCGTTGACCGAAGAAAAGCATCCTCCCGCACCGAACGGACATAATCGTTGAGGTAGTTGGGTACTTTCCTGTTTCGGGCGTCCCGTACCGGTATTCTTGTACTATCAGTTGGTTTATCGATGGTCCCATTTGCTGTTTCATCTACAGGCTTATTCGTCTTATCAACTCCAGTATCGTTTGCGAACTTGCTCGTCCCAGTTTCGTGTGCGGTGCTGTCGTCGTCACGCCATTGGGGTACTCTTTTGGTTTGTGATACGTGTCGTTTTAGTACTACTCCATCCCCGTCTTCGCGAGATTTTCCCAACAGTTTAGATTGCCGATCGATACTTTCAAAAAGCTTCTCATCATACGACGCTGTCTCATGCTGCAGTAGCGGTAGTCCTCGTTTGACCTTGCGTCCCAGCATGGCTTCCTCCGGTGGCACTTTGGTTACGCTTTGATTTGCTGCATTATGGGCATTGATCGCTTGCCGTAGCTCGTTAACGAAGTTGGTTTTGTTTGTAGAAGCTGTGGTCATTGCCTTGTTGACCACCTTCATGTAGGATTCTACCACTCCATTTTGCTGCGAGAATAACGGGGTTGAAAAAATCATGGTTATTCCTGACTTAGCGCAATATTGTTTGTATTCTACGCCCTTGAATCATAGAGGTAACTCTAAGACTAGAAGGTCCCGAAATAACGTGCTCAACTTTTTGGCTCAACTCTGGTACTCTCTTCGGTCCTAAGCTAATCGATTCACCCCTCGAAACATAGGAAAATCCACGAGCCCCTCATTTTAACTGTCAAACTTTCATAGCGAATCAAAACAAACATTGTGTAGTACTAGAATTTCGACTAGAATGGGGTACGTTAATCGTTTGCTTGGGACCAATAGGCTAGTCAAGTAGTGAGCCAATTTAAAATCGTTAGCTTCGTATTGATTGTTGATTGAATGGCGGACCATTATCTGATTTGATGAACTTAGGGTAGCCCTCCCCCTCGAAAACCTCTTCAAGTATCTTTTTCGTGGATTCGAAAGAGGTTGATTTTACTGGCTTTGCTATGAGATACCTGGATCTGTATTCAACGATTAGGAGTATCGAAATGCCACCAAACTTGACGTAGGGGCCATCGATTTCAATGCCACACTGCGTTTGGCACAAATACTCGTTCCATCGACGTCGTCGTCTCCGGTTTTCCAATAATGGCACATTTTTTGCAGGACTCCACCCAATTTTGGACATCCTTCGAAATGCCAGGCCACCAAACACGCTGTCTGACAATACTTTTCATTTTAGCAGTTGTTGGATGACCTTCGTGGGCTACTTGTAGAGCTCTTTTGCGGAGTTTTTCCGGCATTACGGCACATCCGGTTTCGACTATGATTCCGTTCCGAATGGTCAAGTCATCTTCCACCGCCTTATACTTTCGCAAATCGATCGACCATTCTCCCGTCTGTAAGGCATGCATTACCTTTTTAAGCGTCTCATCGTGTTCTGTACATTCCCTGACGTCGTGCTCAGTTAGAAATTCTATGGTATTTGCCTCTAGATAAGCGATTTCCCAGGGACTTACGTCCTCTTCGAAGGGATCGTCGTCGCCACAGTATAGCCTTGATGAACTATCAGTTATATTCGCACGGCCTCGTACGTACTCGACGTCATAACTGTATGGACTCAATTGAAGCGCCCAGCCACCAGCGCGAGTAAGGGCTCGTTTTGAATCCTCTCGTGACCGGTTCAGAATAATCGTTACTCCTTGGGCGTCAGTGCGCAATGTAAAATGTCTACCGAGGAGCGCCCGAGTTTAGCACATCTTACACTAAAGTATTCATGCACCACACACATCTCAACGGACTATTGGGCCTACGAAGCAGTCGGACTGTCGATTTCGCTTCAGTGTGCGGAAAGCCACGACAGAGTTCAGGAGGACTGGCGCATTTGTCTGTTTCATGTTTATTTATTATTTGTTTTAAATTTGTCGAACCTCTAAAGGGTGTATTCGATAAAAATGGGACACCGAAAATCTTCTGTAACTTTTGAACCGTATGATTAAAAAACCTGAAAATTTGAGTAAATCTTACTCATAGTGTATTGTTTACATCTGTCAAGTTTCATAGTTATTCATACAGTAGTTCCAGTCATGTCGTCGAAACAAGAAATAGTCCGTGAAAAAATCTTGTGCACTTACAATCAAAATCCAGAGGCGTCCCAACGATGGATCGCTTAAAAGCTTTGAATTGCAAATGCAACTGTAAATCGTGTGATAAGAACCTTCAAGGAGCATTTGAGCGCCCGAAGGAAGGAAGGGAGTGATCGTACAACTGATCCAATGGACAGTAAAATGGCAAGGAAAGTGGTGCGACAGTTCAAGAACCACCACAAATGGAGTTAGAGATAGAGTGATTTCCCCGTTTTAGCTTTGGTACCTAGTCGTAACTAAAGATTTAAAAAGTTTAAACACGTCTTTCCGTCTGTGACCAATAGCAAGCCACAAAAACTATTTCACCTGCTTAAAACATTCTCGGTTTTTATTCGCTCGGTCGAAAGGTGACTGATCAGTACGCTGATTATGTATATAGTTCGCTTTATTTATTTGAACTTGTAAATAGTAATTAAGTATTTTAATCATAAGCAAAACTTGAATTCTTGAACAAAATTGAATTCAAACTGACATAACAACTGCACGCGATCACTGTAAATATTCTATTCTCTATCCGTGTAAAGCCATTAGCAAATTGAATTCAGTTGCAAATATACAGCAGGAGCGTTCGGTATCTATCCCGTGTTTTCTTTGTCCGCTCGATCGTCTAAGGCTTATCAAGTGATATACAGTGCAAGAAAATCTAAAAATAATTTCCTCGTTCACATCCGAAACGATCCAGAGTTTGTGACCAAACCGGGAAGTTCCGTCGGTCGTAGTGCGTGGGTTATCCTATGGATTGTTTCGTGGATACGTGTGTCCGAATTCATGAATTCGTGAAAGTGATTATAGTGCGTTAAGAGATGGCACTGTGAAGATCAGTTCTACTGCAGTGAAATTTCGTTTTTCCAGAGTTGTGGCTCCGTTGTTTGAAACAACGGGTAGAAAAACCTCCGGTGGCCGGCAATTAGAGCCCACGCTCGAACATTGGTCCTTCGAGCCGGATCGGAGGAAGCATCCAAGCTACAATTCAACGCGCGAAAGGGATATTTCGCCATCGTGGTAAGTGGTCAGAGGACGTTGACCACTAAAGGTAGGCCATTCAACCTCATCTCTATTAAGTCGAAGTGCCATTTACTTTCGCACTCCCGATCGGCGCCAATTATTTGCACCACTTGCTGTGGCAGCGCAAGTAGGTAGAAGTTTGCATGGAGAAAGGCGTAGTATAAACGATCGAAATTTCATTACCTACTGATGGTAAAGCGCAAACTTAGAAGATTTTTGCAATTCGTCTGCTGTGGTGGCATATAGGCTCAATCAATTCGCCTTTTGAATTAATTGCTCGAGGTGTGCTGTACAGTGTCGCACACACTTGTTGGTACGGTGGTGGACATTGAAATTTCAAACTTGTCAAATTGAATTTCATACACGGGGTGGCGTTCTAGCGGATCCGCGATTCGTACAAAAAGGGATACGTAACGCGTCGGGAAGGATTATTCGTAACGATTTCACGTATTCCCTTTCGGTCGTTCGTTCCGTGGTCGTGTAGAAGCATCACGTGTCGCGTCGGGAAGGATATTTTCGTACGATTATCCGTGGTGTTTCCGCCGCTTTCGCGTAAGATCAGCACAACGCGACGGGAAGGAGTAATCGTGCGAACTTATTGTGTTGTTAACGTCCGGTGCGCGTAGTTCAGTGGTTCGAGGTGGTAGATAGTGATGGCAAGCAAGAAGGAGAAGAAGTTAGCGGAGGACCAGCTCGTTCTGAAACGGGTACTGGCTCTTCGAGATGTGGTGGAAAGGTTCGTCAGCGATTATGACCAGCAACGCGATTCTTCCGAAGTCTCAGTACGACTGGATACATTGGACAGGATAAACAAGGAGTTCAACAATATTCAATCGGAGATAGAGAAACTGGATGCAGTGGAGAACTTCGAGCGACACATCACGATACGCACCGATTTTGAGAACCGCTTCTGCAGGTTGAAGGGCTTTCTGCTGTCTAAACGGGAACGAAATCATCCTCTTCTAAGCTCTACGATGTCATCATCCTTCGCTTCGGTCCACAACTCTACCAACTTCCATCATCGTTTACCAAAAATCGACCTTCCGAAGTTTAGTGGGGACGAATCACGCTGGATATCGTTCCGAGATAATTTCCTTTCCATGATCCACAGCAACGATGAAATTCCGACAGTTAACAAGCTTCAATACCTGCTGCAGTCGTTAGAAGGAGATGCCAAAAAGCCGTTTGAGAGTGTCGATATTCAAGCGGACAACTATGCGTCGACCTGGGATGCTCTGATGAAAAGGTACGACGATAAACGATTCCTCAGGAAAGAGTTGTTTAGAGGATTGTTCGATCTACCATTGATGAAGCGTGAGTCGGCACACGAGCTGAATACTCTTGTCGACGACTTTCAACGGCACGTCAAGGCTTTGGGCAAACTCGGTGAGCCTATAAAGCACTTGGACACTCCACTCACCTTCATCCTCTGTAACAAGCTCGATGTATCCACGCTGCGTTCCTGGGAGCATGAAACTCGTCAGAAGGAAGAGGTCAAATATGATGAGTTAGTAGAGTTCCTCATACAGCACGTACGAATGCTCAAGTCAGTTTCCAGCGATCTACAGCATCGTTCCCAAGGGGCTACCATCAAGGTGGCTGGTACAATTCCCAAAAAATCGACTTCAGTCAAGTCCATTGCAAACGCTGCAACGAATGAATCTAATTCGAACGCTCTACAATGCCATGCCTGCTCACAGAAGCACCAACTCTATCAATGTCCAACGTTTGCCAATCTTAGTGTCAAGCAACGTCTAGAATTGATCTCCCAGCGAAGCTTGTGTTGGAACTGCTTCCGCCCAAATTACCAAGCAAAGATCTGCAAATCTAAGTTCTCGTGCAGAACGTGTCACGCTAGGCACCACACGTTGTTGCATGACCAAGCTGCTCCAAAGATCACACCAAATCCTGCCACCAAATCAACTCCTGCTAACTCGTCTAATTCTGCTCCGCAACAACAAACTCCATCCACGTCGGGGAACGTGGGGACCGCTGGATCATCTAATCCACCCGAAGTGAACCTCTCCGTTCAATCTCGCCATAGTACGGTCCTACTGGAAACGGTTGTTCTAACCATCGTCGACAAACACGGCAAGGAACTTCGTGTTAGAGCCCTACTCGATTCAGCAGCGATGTCCAACTTCATCACGAAGAAACTGGCAAACACACTTGCCACCCGTCAAGCTTCCGTGGACATTGCTGTTGCTGGAATTGGAGAATCCGTCAAGTAAATCAAACGGCAAATCACTGCCACGATCAAGTCACGGACAAGCTCTTATTCCACCACACTCGAATTTCTCATAATGAAGAAGCCAACCGCTAATCTGCCAACAATTGCCATCAATACCGCTATGTGGAACATGCCAAACGTTCCACTAGCCGATCCGCATTTCAACATTCCGGGCATGGTCGACATCATTATCGGTGGAGAATGCTATCATGAAATCCACACCGGTAACCGTTTGTCAATCGGTGACGGTCTACCACTACTGGTCGACACGCTTTTCGGGTGGACAGCTTCTGGGAGAACATCCACCAATTCCTCTGTCGTACCACCAGTCTGTTACCTATCAACCGTCGATCGATCTCTCGAAACAGCAATTTAACGTTTCTGGGAGCTAGAAGCCGTCGACCATGGCTCAGCGTATTCCACTGAGGAAAAAGAATGCGAAGAATGTTATGCCACTACTACCACCCGAACTCACTCAGGAGGTACGTCGTACGCCTTCCTCGGTCCGAAGATCCGCAAGTCACCCTCGGTCAATCTCGAGCAATTGCCACCCGCCGATTCTACAGCCTTGAAAGACGCTTCGAAAGAGATCCTGCGTTAAAGCAAACCTACCACGCATTCATAGAAGAATATCTCCGCCTTGGTCATATGCAGAAACTCGATGTAGTTGACGACGAAATCCCGCACTGCTATTTGCCACACCACCCGGTATTCAAGGAGAGCAGCACCACCACTAAGGTACGCGTAGTGTTCGATGCCTCCTGCAAGACCTCCTCAGGAATATCGTTAAACGACACACTTCTCGTTGGTCCAGTCATGCAACAAGATCTCGTCACAATCACCATTCGATTCCGTTTCCACGTGATTGCTTTCGTTGCTGATGTGGAAAAAATGTACCGACAAGTATTCCATTTTCCCATCGATCAACACTTCCTACGAATCGTATTTCGCCGAAACCCAACTGATCCTCTCGACACGTACGAACTGCTTACTATTACGTACGGCACCGCTTCTGCTCCGTTTCTGGCAACACGGACACTTCAACAACTGGCGAAAGACGAAGGCGACAAGTATCCAGAAGCAGTGGAAGCCGTAGTTGAGGATTTTTACGTAGATGATCTTCTCTCGGGTGCGGACAATCTCGAATCCGCAATCGAAAAACGTCGCCAAATTACTGCTATGCTCACGTCAGCCGGTTTTCCGTTGAGAAAATGGGCGTCAAACGTACCGAAAGTCTTGGAAGACGTTCCACCTGAGGACCTAGCAATTCAACCTTTTCACGCTCTGCAAGACGATCAGTCGGTGTCAACGTTGGGATTAATCTGGGACACAAGAACAGACATGCTTCGCTTCAATGTTCAGATGCCACTTGCAGCATCGATTCTCACCAAGCGCAAGGTGATTTCCTATATTGCACGAATTTTCGATCCTCTGGGACTTGTTGGTCCTGTTATCGTGACAGCAAAAATATTTATGCAGCGACTGTGGAAGCTGAAGACAGACGATGATCATCCATACGAGTGGGATAGACCTCTTCCATCGAAGATGCAGGACGAATGGAAAGCATACCATGCAATGCTTGACGTGCTATCTGAGTTACGAATTCCCCGCTTTGTTTCTTTCGCCGCTACTCCTCGGATGCAATTGCATTTGTTTTCCGATGCATCAGAGTCAGCATACGGGGCTTGCTGTTACGTCCGATCCGAGAGTGATGAGCGAATCCTTGTACATCTTCTGACGTCTAAATCAAAGGTGGCGCCGCTTGCTACAAAGCACTCCATCGCTCGACTCGAACTCTGCGCTGCAGTTCTGTCAACAAGACTCTTCCAAAAAGTGGAACACTCGATCAGATTCACCCCTGAAGTCTTCTTCTGGTCAGACTCCACTACTGTTCTGCACTGGCTTGAATCATCACCGAACCGCTTGAAAACTTTCGTCGCGAACCGAGTACAATAATCCAGTCGAATACAGAGGGACATACTTGGAGACACGTTGCCGGTAGTGAAAATCCAGCAGATGAACTATCTCGTGGCTTGACACCTACCGAACTTCGAAACCAGTCACGATGGTGGAACGGACCGCCATGGTTATCACAGCCTATGAACCACTGGCCACATGCGAATGTTCCTGAAGAAAAATTTTCAACAACCGTTGAAGAAACACGCAAGATCACCCTAGTATCACTAGCTCCCGATGAAAACCAGTTTGTCGATCAGTTATTCTCCCGCTATTCTTCGTATACCAAGCTGCGCCGAGTAGTTGCCTACTGCGTCAAGTACATTCATTCGATTCGTGCTGTAGTGCGGAAGTCCGGCGAAGAATCATCACTACTTCTAACAACAGCTGATCTGACAGCCTCCGACTGTGCCTTGGTCCGATTAGCTCAACAACAGCTCTATTCAGAAGAATTAGCAGATCTCAGCAGCTCAGCAATTGTGAAGACTCCTCCGATGAAATGGTTACATCCATACCTCAGCGACGACGGACTTATTCGTGTCGGTGGGCGACTTGCCAACGCTGATGTTCCAGAAGCACGCAAACATCCTATCATTCTGTCGGCCAAGCATCCATTGACTCGTTTGCTTTCTGAACACTATCATAAGACACTCCTCCACGCTGGACCCCAGCTGATGTTGTCCACCATACGCCAGAAATACTGGATTATTGGAGGGAGAGATCTTGTTCGCTACACCTATCACCGATGCATCAAATGTTTCCGCACCAAGCCGATTCTCGTCAAGCAAAGCACTGCTGATCTGCCAAGGTCTCGTGTCGTACCAGCTCGCCCATTCTCAAATAGTGGCGTAGATTATTGTGGCCCAATATTTCTCAAGTCCCCAGTGCGTAACCGCGCACCTATCAAGGCATATATTGCGATCTTCGTGTGTTTCACCACAAGAGCCGTTCATATTGAACTGGTATCAGACCTCTCCACGCCAGCATTTCTTTCCGCTCTCCGTCGCTTCGTCGCTCGCCGTGGCCGCATTCAGGAACTCCATTCCGACAATGGAACGGCCTTCAAGGGAGCATCGAATTCACTTCACCGCATCTATGACATGCTGAAGCTCAACGACACTGATCGAGATACCATCTTCAACTGGTGTGCAGATCAAGAAATCCAGTGGAGGTTTATTCCACCACGGGCTCCACACTTCGGATGACTGTGGGAAGCAGCCGTGAAATCATGCAAGCACCATCTCCTGCGAGAAATCGGTCAGACGTCACTAAGCCCTGAAGACATGACAACCTTACTTGCACAAATCGAAATGTGCCTAAATTCTCGTCCTTTGACTCCGATTCCGACCGATTCTGCTGACTTAGAGGTTCTAACACCAGGCCATTTTCTTGTTGGCTCGAATCTCCAAGCTGTTCCGGAAGTAAATGTCGTCAATATACCGAGTAATCGTCTAGACCACTGGCAACGCACTCAACAGTTGCTTCAGCGCATCTGGAACCGATGGTATCCGGAATATCTTGCCCAATTGCAATCGCGAGCCAAGAAGGGTTGCCGTTCACCGGTTAAAATTCAAGTCGGACAGATCGTGATTGTGAAGGACGAAAATCTTCCACCAGCGCAATGGCCCTTGGGTCGTATAACAAAGCTCCATTCAGGAAAAGACGGAATCGTCCGTGTAGTCAGCATGAAAACTGCCACATCCGACAACGTTGTACGATCAGTTGCCAAAATCGCCCTATTACCGTTGCCAACCGAACCTGATGATCAACAATAACAAATTGCAAGCAGAAACTCCAAAGACCGGTAGAGCAGTCCGAAACTTGCTCGATGCGTATTTGGACAGCCATCAGGTGATTGGCGTTCCAACATCTTTATTATCTCCTGTGCGTTCTACCGGGTCTTTTATTTTACAGATCATCATTCTACTCTCCTCGCTTCATTCTACGAGCTTCAACTTCGTCCACTCGGCTAAGCAGTCTACTGAATGAGACCATTCAATCACCGTTCAACCGATGAATGATATCAACGATCGTCAGCATCATCCCGAAGTTTGCCGATTTCGAAGAGAGAGTCGTGAGAAGATAAGTATTGTGAGAGTTTGAAGCAGTGTGACTGTTTAGCAAACCCCACACGCATCAATATATTGACGCGAAGGGGAATTATTGACAATAATATTGATGGTGTGAATTCAGAAATATTGTCAATCCCGATGTATTGACGTCAATATATAATGTATTGACAATACGATTATTGTCAATAAAAGCAATCGTGTACGGTCCACTTTTCAAGGTGGCCGGAATGATCAGTACGCTGATTATGTATATAGTTCGCTTTATTTATGGAATGATCAGTACGCTGATTATGTATATAGTTCGCTTTATTTATTTGAACTTGTAAATAGTAATTAAGTATTTTAATCATAAGCAAAACTTGAATTCTTGAACAAAATTGAATTCAAACTGACATAACAACTGCACGCGATCACTGTAAATATTCTATTCTCTATCCGTGTAAAGCCATTAGCAAATTGAATTCAGTTGCAAATATACAGCAGGAGCGTTCGGTATCTATCCCGTGTTTTCTTTGTCCGCTCGATCGTCTAAGGCTTATCAAGTGATATACAGTGCAAGAAAATCTAAAAATAATTTCCTCGTTCACATCCGAAACGATCCAGAGTTTGTGACCAAACCGGGAAGTTCCGTCGGTCGTAGTGCGTGGGTTATCCTATGGATTGTTTCGTGGATACGTGTGTCCGAATTCATGAATTCGTGAAAGTGATTATAGTGCGTTAAGAGATGGCACTGTGAAGATCAGTTCTACTGCAGTGAAATTTCGTTTTCCCAGAGTTGTGGCTCCGTTGTTTGAAACAACGGGTAGAAAAACCTCCGGTGGCCGGCAATTAGAGCCCACGCTCGAACAGTGACGTATTGGTAGCAAAGCAATACAGAACAGATGGAACTATCCCAAAGGGTTGACAACAAATCTAGATAGAGCTGGAATTAGGGCGTAACAGCCTTTGTAAACAATTACTTCTATCGATGATT